AATAGATATAGATAGATAAGATAGACAGACAGACAGACAGACAGACAGACAGACAGACAGACAGACAGAGAGAGGGAGAGATGCATCAAAGGCTCACAAGTGGAGCCTCTAATGTGTCTGGTTTCAACGATTCTAAGATTCTAAGGGCTTTGTGATCGTATCTATGGTGGCCTCGTCAGCAATGCGCTGGCAGATCGGATCCATCTCCTCGTCGGTCTTGGCATCCTTGAGCCTGAGAGACAGATAGTTCGGGGTGCTGGATACCAAAAAACATCAATTGGAGTGACTAGCAGGACTGGGCAACACCCTGAAAGTAGTCTTGAAGCACATCAATCCAATTTAATCAATCCCAGATCGACCCTCCAATCATCAACCAATACCAACCTCATGGTGTGATGTGTCTGCATCCTGCATCCCCAGGGCTTCAGACATTGATGGAGGGCAGCACACACTTTTGGATTTTCGGCTTTGGACGGTTTGGGTGCCTTTGGTCTTTCAGGTTCGGGGTTCATCAGCATAGTCACCACAAGTACGGCTGCAACTACCCCTGCATGCTCCTGGCCCTGCTCCTCACATGCTTCTTATTACTCATATTGTTATTTCTATTACTACTAGTACTACTAGTACTACTAGTACTACTAGTACTACTAGTACTACTACTACTACTACTACTACTACTACAACTACAACTACAACTACTACTACTACTACTACTACCGAAAGATGCCCTTGTAGAAGTTCACATACAGTCGGCCCCACTACTACTTCTACTACTGCTGCTCTTACATACTACTATTCTACTACTACTACTACTACTACTACGACGACGACGACGACAACGACGACTACTACTCCTCCTCCTCCTTCCTCTAGCTGCTGCTGCTGCTGCTGCTGCTGCTGTTGCTGCTGCTGCTGCTGCTGCTATGGCCATTGCCAGTGCTACTCCTGCTGCTACTGTTACTATATACTATGCTATGATTACTACTATACAGGCAGAACCACTCAAGCCCATTCTATAGTCTACAACACGGAACAACAAGATGCATGTTACTCAGTATAATTAGATTGAGGCCTCGAGTCTTCCTTTTCATCCAGAAGGGAGGAAACCCAAATGCCGGCAATAGTCATTGAATAGTCTGCATAGACAGGAGCCCCGAAGGTAACCCACTAGTGCAACCCATCCCAGACACAAAAACAAAGGAAGGATTTGTGGTTCTGCCACCAAGCAGCTGCTTGGCCAGTTTGGTGAGGGTCGCTTGGTGCTTCTTGAGGTCTGGAATCAGGGATGAGCCGGTGGGCATTTCAAGGAGCAAGCACGGGAAAGCTTGGATCTCCTTCTTCAGCTCGTTGCCTCAGATTAGGATGATCACTCAGAGTAGGAATGGTAAGGCAGCATACACATGCAGCTGCAGCACACTATCTAGTTGCATCTCTCCCTCACACTCTCTCTATTTCTCTCTCTGACTCTCGCTCTACCTCTCCGAGCTGAAACAAAGATACTCCACTTCGTACGCTTCTCATTCACATCCTTGAACTGCTGCTCCAGCAAAGGTTTTTTGCTGACCACTGCCATCTGCTTTCGCGAACCTCGCGAGCCACGGCTGGCGGCACTGCGGCCCGCCGTTGAACGGGCGTCACCTTAGATAGTTTCGGGCTTAGGGGGTACATAGGGTACAGGGCTTAAGGACTTCTATAGTTTAGCGCTTAATTGTATTCTAGATGAGGCACTGGCAGCCGCAGCTAAGGACTGGTTGTAGTTATCATAGGCCCGCAAGACATCACCCGAGAGGGCGGGATTGGAGGGCAACGGGGTGAAGCCTTTTCCAGACATGCATGGCTCTGGGGCCGACCCAAGTATCCCATCCGCAAATTTCGTAGAGGGCCGGACAGCAGCATCAATGGATCGATTCAGCCTTAATTTGCAGCATCATTGTGAAGATTTACACACACAGACAGACACACATGCCCTATACAGACATCATTGCTTTGTGCACATCCCATGCACTTGAGAGATGAAGTATCCGTTTTCTCCTGGGTCAGCAATACCCAGAAACGGGTTTCTTCGGCAACATCAGGCGCGTCTTCGTCCGGAATACCGCCCCCTCGGGCGATGATCGCTGCCACCTTCTTCTCGCTGAATCCATGCACCCTCGTCATATCCTTGACGGATACAAGTGAGTATCTCTTTTGCCCTGAATGGTGTCATCACGCTCTGCCCGGACTCGAGCTTCACACATCCTGATATCGACAGAAAGCAACTGTTTGGATTGGAGCTGGATGCCATGGCGTTATGCTTAAAACCGGCGTTGGAATGGAGATGGCTGATGATTGGATTTAAATAAAACGTGAAAAAAACGTGAAAAGAACGTGCATGGCATCGTGAAAAAAACGTACAAAAAACGTGCCAGAAACGTGCAAAAAACGTGATGGTAGAAACCGAAAAATACCTTTTCCTTAGTAAAATGTGAACATAAGGTGAGAAATGGATGCTATGTGGTCCTTATAGTAGAAAGTTAATAAAGAGATAATAAAAACAATCGATAGAAGAGGTATTTGGAAATATTCAGAATCTATAATTAGTTTTCCTTAATCATGCTATAACCTGTATGGCTTCAAGTGTTTGCTCACCACATTCAATATAATGTACTGTTACTACACTTACTATACTTGCGACATTATCAAAATATTATCAAGAAACATTGTCACTGTCACGAAATTGGTGTCCGACATACTTCTGAAAATCAAGTCTGGATTGAGTCTTGAAACATTCCAACTAACATTTCTGTCTGCAAATCTCAGAAAAGAAACTTGTTACACACACTCGCAGCCGGTGTCAGTCGATACCCAGTGGAGTTGTGTAGCGAGTTTTGAGTCGACACACTGACGCTCCCCGATGATTCTGCGCATGCAATGCCTTCTGGACTCAGCACGTGTGGGCCTCCCACTAATCACTAATCCCAGTCCCAGCTGTACCAGGTTTGGAAATGTCGCGAAAAAAACTTCACTCGCTCGCTCCACTGACTCATGGCCCTGCATCCATCACCCTCCCTCCCTCCCTCCCTCTCTCCCTCGACATTGTTTGGGAAGATAGGCCCGACATGTTGAAGTGAGCTGTCGTTGCTATCATGCGTTGACAGTCTGACAAGCGATGAGAACAGCTTGGAAGCTGCACTACACAGAACAAGCTCTTTGTCGCCTCGAGCCGCAAGTCTCTCGCACTTGGAAAACTGGTAGTCCGCTGCGTTCGAAGCCGAATGACGCCACCGGGCACCGCTAAGCCAGAAAGACTTTGTTGAATCTGGAGCTTTTGATCTGCATACGACATACAAAGCCACTAGGCCTTAAGCCCACGAGCTGTCCAGTGCCTACAAAACCAGGGACCAGGGATGGTAACGTACAGGTAAAGGTTTAAAATCTTGAAATAGAAATACCTAAGCCTAAACCCCTAAACCCTGAGGCCCTAAACTCTAAACCCTGCGCAGAGTTGAGCCCCTGAGCATGACCCCTTCCGTGCAGCACCTAACGTGCATAGAGCTACTGAGCTACTTAAGCTTAGGAGGCTTAGGGCTTAGAGGCTTAGAAGGCTTGGGTTTGGCCAGCGCTAAACATGGCAGCTGTCCTAATCGGCTGAGACGGAGCAAGCTGAAGCTTGCTGAAGGATAGAATTAAAATTGAAAGGGGCTCAGCCTCAGGATCCAAACGCCCTGTACAACACGCAACTCTTGAGCTGCATCATCCCAGGATCCGGCGGCCCTCAGCTAACAGCGTTTTGTCCACACGCGTTTCTTCCACAAAGTCACCTGAAATGCGTCCTGTCACTTCCCCAAGGATGGATCTCGCAATGGCCTTGTTGGTATGCTGGTTTGCATACCATAACAAAGCTTCGGCACCCAAAGCAGCCATCACCTTGCCATCCTCTGACAGGGCCATGTAGTCGCCGGTCGTCAATGCCATCATCTCGTCTTGCATGCCAAAGTGCTTCAGGTGAGGGCCATACCTGGCCTGCACGGTTTTCATGCCCTGGAGGGCCTCGGCACGCGAAAAATTCCCGAGCTAAGTTCTGCTTCCACAAGTCTATGTTTGAGTCTATGTCTATGTTCGATCAAAGGTTGACCATGCGGGCAAACATGGATAAGCTGCTAAGGCTTGTGACTTGTGGTTGAAACAGGGCGCACTGGGAATCACAACACACTCGTTACATGTATGAGCCTGGGAGCCGTGGAACCCACATCTTTTAGTCCAAACATCAGTAGAGAGTGTAGATTCTAGACTCTCGATACACAAAAAAACCGCCTGCATGCCATCTGCTATCATGGAGGAGCGGTTTGGCTGCACGCCACGACTCACAGAAATTCGAATATCTGTCATGTGCAGCATTAACAAATAATCACAGAAGCTAATCTAGCTGAACACTGGATTTTAGATCTATTTTCAAGATTAAAGCCGTTAAGCCTTTAAGGCCGGGGCCTAGTCTAGTCAAGTCTAGTCTAGTCACAAGTCTAGGTGTAGGAAATATAGGGAGAGTTTAGGGCAGCTCAACGCTTAAGTTCAAGACACAGTTCAACTTTAGGCGACGGCTGGGGCTAGGGCTAGGGCCACAGGGTCCAGGTTACATCGAGCGCATCCAAAAGTCAAGTACTAGTTACCAGTTCCCCGTAAAAGCCGTAACTGGAGTTGCTACCAGCTGCTACCTACCGGGCGGCTAGCTACCTGGTACCTGATACCTGGGTGATTGGCATATTGAATAACACAAACTGCCACAAACTGCGCCTTCTCCACCTCTGCGATCTTGTCCCTCAAGGCCGAGCCATCCACAGAGCCGAAGGCACTTCCGGCTAAGTCCATGACCTGGTCAAGGGAGGGGCTGTTCGGGAGCTTGTCCTTCCACCCCGCAACTGTTTCCCACGACTTCTTGGCTTCGGTGCCATCCTGGTTGTTGTCCTTGCCGTCGATAAGAAGCTTCCGGGCCTCCTGCAAGTGGGACTTGCAGGCCTCCAGCTGCTTAGAGATCAGGAACTGCAATCCTTCCTGGACCGCAGCGTGCGGATTGTCTGTCATGGACCGGGCCATGTCACTGCACGCATGCTCGAGAGCACAAACCACCTCCACCTTGGTGGGGGCAGCGTCTGCAGCATCTTCTTTCCCAGCCTCAGCCTCATCCGGGAAGACAGCGCCGGACGTCGATGCTGCCAGGGCTGCCAGGGACTCGTTCTCGTTCTTGCTCTTGACCGCTCTGATGCGAAGGGAAGCCACCGTCTTCAAGACACCATCCAAAGCCAGCCGCTCGCTGTCCTTTGCATCCCTGTCTTTGGCGTCGCGGCCAATTTCGTGGTACCTCCTGCACGCCTGGCTGAGGGATAGGCAATCCTCCAGCAAGTTGACCTGCCCCAAGAACCACTTCCTCGCAGACGCTGCCATCGGGACTTTCTGGAAGATCCCTTTGGCGGTTGCGGCATCCTTCCGAGCATCGGAAGCCACTGAAGTCAGCTTGCCCCCGACACTGGAGTCGCACGCAGGCTCCACCTGCCCGACACAGGACATGTATTATCAATATGAATGTTTTTTCTCCCATTCTTCGATTCACTGCGCTAACAATGACACACTGAATCGAGTTCACTGCGCTGACAGCAGAAAATGCGAATCCTAGTTAGTAGCCGCCACCCAAGGACCAAGGACACGGACACACACACACACACTCACTCACACAGAGACAGACAGACAGACAGACAGACAGACAGACAGACAGACAGACAGACAGACAGACAGACAGACAGACACGCGTGTATTGCATATATATTTCTCTGTCTCTGTCTCTCTCTCTCTCTCTCTCTCTCTCTCTGTATATATATATATATATAAATGTATCTATATCTATATGTAGACACACATTGGCATATACACACACGCATGTACAGGAACTACACTGACCCGGACCTGGATTTAGGACCTAGGACCTAGGACCTAGGACCTAAAACCTAGGACCTAGGACCTATGGACTCTAGGCCTCTAGGCCTGGACTCAGACGCACACGCACGACACCCACCCAGACCTGCCCACCCACCCAACCCACCCCACGAAAACCCTCGCATGCACAGTGACAGACATGAAGGCAGAGAGAGAGACAGAGAGAGAGAGATACACCGCTCGACGAACACATGCAATCATGGACACTCTTCCAATCGAAAGCTTATAAAAGCCACTCCTCGGGAATAATCGCACAAGTCTTGGATCCTGGAGATTTTTGAGAATCCCCGAAAGTAGACAAACCAATCAGGCCGAGCATATGGTGAGCCGAGGGCATTTATGCTTTGCGATCACTGACTATTTCTGAACAGATGCGGTGTAAGGCCGAGTGGTGGCATAGTTGCGGGTGCGAGCTAGTTAAGTCCCGGAAGACAATGGCAACCGCCGACAGGTTTGCTGAATAAGGTTGAATAAGGACATGCGTGTGTCTCTGTGTGTCTTCGCGACTGTTCATTCTTATGTCGGTGACTTACTAATGATTGGATGGCTCCCGACTCCCGGGACTCCAGTGAGTCTTAATTTCGGATGTTTGTTGCCCGGAAAACAGCAACAGTAATAGTAACCAGCAGTTGCAAAATCACGGTCTATGGCGCCTTGAGCTGCAATGTCTTCAGAGTAGCCAACAGAAGGGGCTGAAGGTTGATGCCTGCAGCCTCCTCGCCATCAAGATCTACGGATTGGAGCACTCCCCAAGCAAGTGCAACATCAAATGCGCCAGGCTCGGCATTCCTGGCCGATTGGCACAACTCCTTCAACTTTGCACCCTGCAAAGCTGTCTGATTTGCCGCCTGCCACGTTGCAAACTTGTCGAGGGCTTCCGCATAGCCGCTCGCGGGCTTCCCCACAGCTGGGACTTGGGAAGCCAGCTTCAGGAAATCCTCGACATTCACACCCGCGATGGACTTCAAGTCGCTTTCTTTTGCAATCACTTCCATGAGCAAAGGAATCAAGACCTGGAGCATAGCATCCAGCTCTTGAAGAGCACCCTTGCGGAGGTGGCTCGCCATGTGATCTCTTTTGCTCAACACCTCAAAGACTAGCTTGCAGGCTGCAGTGCAATCCAGGGGAGCACACTCCCCGCCCTTGGCATCCTGGACGATCTTGTCCATGTCTGCCACATACTGCCGGATGATTGGGGCAAACTCCTTGACTGCCGAGCTTGCACGCTGCTCTGCATCGAATGCCTCTTGCCAGAAGGAGCCCTTCCTGCCAATTGCATTCTTGATCTCGGCCTCCATGTAGTCGGCGCCCGAATACTTGGACAGCACGAATGCATCACGGAAAGTGCAGTCCATGTAACCCGGGACTGGAGCAGCCAAGCAGCATATGCACTTGCAGAAAGCTGTGACTCGTTCAATGCTGCTCCGCATCAGAGGTGGAAAGTCCTCCGGGATGTGGGCAACCTGCGCATTGAGGGCTGTCAGCATGGAAGAGCACACGTCCAAGAGGCGTGCATAGCTGGAAGTGGCTGTTGCAGGGATCAATCCCAGCAGCGTGTCGTTGGCGAAGGCATCCACCCATCCAGCTGCCAATGCCTTCACATACTGGGACCCATGCAGAAAACACAGAAAGGAAACCAGCTTAATTAATTTGACGATTTGGCCATGGTCAAGCACATCGCAGCCTGTACCAAGTTGTACTAGAAATACTAGACAACAGAACCGACATTGGTTGAATGAAATGCAAAGTGTAACTAGGGCACTAGGGCCACTAGGGCCTCACTAGGGTCACTAGGGCTAGGGCACTACGGCGGATGACATCGGGCAAGTTTGTGACTGAACTTCTCCACGCAGCTGGGCGAGAACGATATCAATGCAACACTATCATTATGAAAACGAAACAGCTGTATACTGTACCTGGAACGACTCTTTTGAAACTCTTTTGCCATGCCTGCTACGGAACTTTCGCCCTAGCCCTAGCAGCTCTACCTGTAATTACTTTTTCCAACTTGTAGACCAAAGACCTGTAGCTACCAGCTACCAGTCCTGCCCTACCACCACTCACTGCTTCACTCACCTCCCAACCATATTCAGGTCAGCTACTGAGAAACAAACAGGCCCGGCCTCCCAGCGACTCTCGATCTCTGCTTCAATTTCCGCTGCCTGCTCATTCCCCTTGTCAGTACCCTGGTCTCGAGCTTCCTGGCCTCGACGCTCATCATCTCCAGACAGCTGCATTGCCTCGCTCATCACATGCGCGAAGCTGGGCTTCGTGAAGGTCCACTCATCGTCCAGAGTGCCCTTGCAAAGAATGAGCATCGAGACAACATTTTGCAGCTTAGCAGCGGCGCCATCTGCCACAAAACCCTTCACAGCCTGGGACACTTCTGCAATGGTGACCTTCAGCTTGATCAACAGAGGCACGGGCGAGCCGGTGGCTCCAATCAGTACATACTTGGAAATCCTCTCGTCGGAGGGCAAGGTGAGAAGATCCGAGGTCGTTGCCAACAGCTGTGCTGCTTGCACAGCTGCAATTCTCCGTGAAAGGCTGCGGCCTTCTTTCGACGTGTCTCCCAACTTCTCCAGCAAGCGTGTGGCCTCACTTTATCCGGTTGCCACAGGTTTGGGATGTTTAGAAGCCAGGCCTATAGGCTGCAATTTCCCAAAGTGAAAGAACATTGTAAATTGTAAGCAAGATGCACAGTACAGTTTCGATTAGAAACAAACAATGAACATCACAAGTTAAAGAGTTGGAATACAGGACGTAGGAATGTAGGACACTTGACTTCACTTGACCTCGACTTATGCTCTCCGTATCTGACAGCCAGACCGCTACAGTGGCCCTACCCTACCCTGCCGAAAACTCGCGGGCCTGGCTTATGTAAACAACTCCTCGGCCAAAACCTGAATACTGAATCCATATGGTCCTAGTCCTAGTCAGACTCCTACATGCTATGTCCTATGGCCTACATCCTACATGCTTATACATCCAAGATTGTTCATCGCTGGAAAAAACGGGAATGCTTTATGCCCTTTATGCTTCGCCATAAACTCCATAGACTCACAAGCTGAATCAACTTGCAATCAAGGTCTAAGAGTCTAAGAGTCTAAAGAGTCTAAAGGTTTCGGAGGGAAGTTTGAAAAGCTCAGGTGCCTCTCTAATTCGAAAAGGTGCGGAGAAGTGGAGAATGCCATAGACTCTGACTATGTCTATGAGTCTATGAATGGAACTGCACCATGAAAATCTAGAATCTAATCAGTAATACCAGAAACTCTTCTGTCTTTTGCAAACCGCATTGGCAGTGGCTTATTCATGCAAACTCTCTGAGCCACCAGCGCCGGTGCATTGGTTGCCCATCTTGGCACCTTCCAAAGCCCGTCGAACTGTGAGGTTCAACAAACTGTCGGGAACAGAGCCAAGTTTGAGCGCCACTTTGCAAAGCTCGGGGTCGTGGCTGAGGGCAGCCTTGATTTCCTCCTGCGACTGAGACGGGGCCTCATCCGCATTGCGTGCACTGCCGGTGCTCTTCTTTGCTGGTGGTGGGGCATCCCCCCCCTTCACACTGCCTTGTTGCTTTTTCCTCTTCCGGGTGGCAACACCTGCATCTTTGTCGATGGTTGTCGTTCCCAGCCCAGACGACAGACTTCCCTTGATCCGCGGCTCGGCCTCGTCCACGATGTCGACCGGGTCGTCAGCCCCATCGAGCTCGAGCTTGGCAGCCAGCTCCTCATCCTTTTTCTTGCGCTTCTCCTCCAAATCAGCTGCCTTCTTGCGCAAGGCACTGATGGTCGGCATATTTGCCAGAAGCTCCAAAGGGTTGCTGGCAGATCGGTCCGGCATCCGAGCAGCCACTCCAGGCAGCACATCAGCACCTTGGGCCAAACGTAGCTGTCGGCTCGGTTGCAAGATCTCCTTCTCGTGCTGCGCATGGAACTTGAGCTCCCAGCGGATTCTCCGAAGCCCGAGCAGGTCCTTCTCCCTGATGTCTTCCGGGAGGTCGTCAAAGCGAACGTAAAAGCCGGCAACAACTCGTCGCCCACACTCACTCAATCGGTTCACTTTGTCAAGCTTCAAAGCATTCGAAGTTGCTCCGATGAATTTCACTACTTGGTTCTCAGTCAAGAACAAGCATTCGACAATCATCGACTCTGAGATCGACTGCACTGCCTTCACCGAGGATGGTGGATCGAAGTACTCCATCTCCTCGTCGGCGTCAATCTTCGCAAGTCTCTCACAGCTCCTGTCGATGTCTCTGGCAAACGATTTGTTGGCCTTGTCGCTGGAGTTGTACCGCGACATTGCCTCAGCAAAGTCGAGGTCGAACCCTGCCGTCACCGCTGTGAAGCAGACGCCACAAGCATCTTCTCGACCGGGCTGGGGAACCCAGTCCTTGTCCTGAAGCAGCACTGAAGCACTGAAGACACATGAAGAAAAAACAATAAGACAAGAACAATCAGCAAATTCTAAATATCCCGATTCCGGATCGATCACTCGCAACCCCGGCCTTTGGCCCCCGTAGCCCTTCAAAAGACTCATGGCTACAGTGAGGATTGGTGACTTCATGTTATTAGCAGCTTAGCTCTAGCAGACCCTAGGCCCTAGCTGCCTAGCTGCTTGCCAGGTGGTGCATAAAGCCAGCTGTTATGCATTATTCGCCACACTGATTCGGCACTTGGCGCAGATTCCGCATATGCAACACAATCAGATCACCAACAGCGAGGTCCTTCGAAGTTCGCTTGCAGCGCAGGCATACGATGAGGGCGACATTTGAAGACGTGGCTGAGCTGCCTCTGGATTGCCGAGTCGGGGCCGGGGGATCCACCGGCTCGGCTTTGACCTGGCAAGACCATTGCAACATCATAAAACAAACCCCTGATTCAATGAGTTTGTGTGTAGTGAGTCTAGCAGAGTCTAGCATTCTACTTTCTACATATTCTAGATTCTACATTCAACAGATTCTACAGTCTCTACAGTGACTCTACAGTTACAGAGCGCACCTTCTTCAGAGGACGGGCCATGGCCAACGGCAGGCCAAGAAAACGCTGGAGCAAAATATGCTATGGAATCCAACAAAGTCCATAAAGCATAGAATGTTCGGTGCTTCCCTACCTGCTTGCAATTTGAATGATGGAAGTCGATGCAATAAATCTTCAAGCCGATCCTTTAGTAGCCAAATGCATTGGTCAGGTACTCTGTTCTCCTTCTGCAGGAGAGCATCTAAAGCACTCGAATTGGCACGCTGCCCGCGCTGCAAGAGGACGATCCGACACATGTCCGGGTCTGAGTCTAGCGTCTAACCTTTCGAGACTTTAGAGTTTCAGATTTTAGAGACTTACATCCTACCTACCCGGACCTACCCCTACCCTTACCGAGTCCACCGACTGAGCCTGTTCCACCTCTGGGAACAGGAAGCCGAAGCTTTTGGTGTAATCTAGGAATCTAGAATCTAGGACCTAGGACTCTAGGAGGACCTAAGGACCACTCGGCCTGTAACGTACAAAGAAACGGATGGCACAAAGCCATTAGGTTGCTTCTGGAATTCTAGACTAGACTCTAGGTCTAGGTCCTAGTGCCGAAAGTCTCCGAAGTGTTTGCGACATGGAGGTTCTGATGCATGCAAACTGGATGTCTCCTGAGGTCTCCTGCTGGATTTGACAGGGTTATAATGGTTATAGGGCTGGGGATTAAAAAGTTTCGGGTTTAGGGGTTAGCTGTTGGATGTAGACAGCCATTGACGCCATTGACTACACAAAAGGCTATCAAGAAAAAACAGACTCGATGAATAGATTGACTCGTTGAGATAAGAATGTCAGAATACATTCAGCTCAACAAAGGTGTAAGACTGGCCCTAACCTCAATTAAATTTGTACTACTAATACTAACTAACTGGTTACTATCCGGCCAAGTCTGCGACCTATGGGGCCTATCGGCCTATCGAAACAAGCCATATAATATAATTTTCTAGTTTATAGTTTATAGTATAAAGTTTATAGTTTATAGTTTATAGTATAAATAGACTTTGGGAGTTTGGGGCTCAACAAACCTTCTGACCTTCTGGGTCTGGGTGGAAATCGCCATCACATGCAAGCTGTGGTCGGAAGTCTATGACCTCAGCCCCTGTGCGCAGGGCAACATATATCCACATTATTTCTGCGACGAATTGTGGCACCTGACCTAAGCTGCCATGCTTAGCCGCACCAGTCACCGAACCGCTGCAATCTCATCCTAGCCACTCTAGCAGCTAGCACACTAGCCGTAGCTGCTTGCTAGCCCTAGGCCCTAGGCCCTTGTAGAAAATCTCGGAGTCCTAGTCCTAGTCGTCCTAGTCACCTAGTCACGACCTAGTCCTGTCACTGAACCATTAATCAATCACTAATCATTAATCATTCATCAGTAATCCGAACTCATTAATCAACAAAACAGTAGCTACACAGCAAACTAGCCACTAGGCTCGCTAAACTCATTAGATTCGACTCACTAGATACTAGATAGACTCACTAGACTCGACACCTTACCCGGGACCTACCCGTACCCATAATAGCCATAATAGTCACTTGAGCCGCTGAATCACTCAGCCTGACAATGGTTCCTGGTGGTGCCATAAGCCATAAGCTGTAGGCCCTGTAGGCATAGTCAGTCCTTGCCCCCGGCCCCGCTGAGACTCCACATTTCTGTAGATACAGTAACTAATCCAATTTAATACAATACGTTACAATATTAGACTTTAGACTCTAGACCCTTAGAATATAAAAAAGAATGGCCGATCTAGAGTGTCGTCTAGAGTCTCGTTTGGATACTGCCCCCATTCAGTAACAATTGAGTATTTTTCATAATATGGCTATGGCAATGGATATACAAGATGCTTAATAACTTAATAGTAGCTGTTTGTAGCCCTATTGATTGTTACTGCGTGGGGGCAGTACCCAAACCAGTAGTAACAGTAGTATTCTCTAGCCACTATAGTCACTTGCCACAATGCTTGAAAAAGTGAAAACCTGAAAGCCCCGACATAAGAGTCCCGGTCCCGGAATCCAAAGGCCCAAGGGCAATGACACGGTGCTGGTAGGCCACACTAGTGACTCCAGACTCCAACCAGCATCAGGAGGCACACTGCTTTCTGGCCGGGTTTAGGGTTGAACAAGGGTTTAGGGTTTAGGGACCTCAACTAGCCCTAACAGTCCAAAACCAAACCACTATCAGGGTGAGCGGACAGCCAGGCAGGGATAATAATGGGGGTATAGTTAGGCGGTATTGAATTGGGTGTTCGGCCAAATTAAAACCAAAAAGCCCATTAACCATAAGCCTTAAGCCACAAGCCAGCAAGGTTGCCACGCTTCCAGATGCACTAGCCGCCCAAGCTACTGCCCAGTGTTTGCAAAAAACAAACATAGTCGACATAGTCAGATAGACGTAGACTCGACTTAGACATAAAGTTGACATAAAGTGACATAGAGACAATGACCTAACAGTTCGAACGAAACTGTGGTGGCCATGGCGACCAACAGATAACAGTGATGCTGTGGGTGACATCCGCCTAAGGCATAGAGTAGCTCTTGCTGGGTCCTAGGTTGTGGCTTGAGGACTCAAGGATTCAAGGCTCGATCACTTAGTTACATAGACATAGTGACATAGACTGAGTTACTTAGGTGCCACCCATCTCTGCAGGAGCTTCGAAATCTCTGCGGCGCATCACCTGAAAGCTCCAGAACATCATGCCCAGGCACGGCAAACTGATTGTGTTTCCCACCAGCCGCTTCAGCTGGCGGTTCGTGAAATCCTCGGGAATGATCATTTCTCTTGGGTACCCGAGAATTGCAAGCATCTCGATTGCAAGGATCAACCTATCCTCTCTGTATGAATACAGCTCTGAAGAAGTTGTGAAACAAGGGTGCACACCCGACTGCTTTGTGCACGTGCCCCTTGTGATAGACTGAGACACATCAATGATTGTGTTCAGAAGATGTGCAGAAGTGTTCTTTACTTTCCTGGAAAGGATCTTGGCTGCTGTAACATCCAGCGCATCCTGCACCCGATCAGTCAAGCTCAATCCCCATCCCTTGAAACTGGATTTGCCTGTCCAGATCTTCGAAGAAACTGATATACCCAAAGTCTCACGAAGCTGCGCAGAGTGCAGCTGCCACTCCAGGTCTGTTGCGGTCTTCCCAGCAGAAGCTGTCGACTTTGGTCGGCCATCCTGAGGCGAGGGAAGTGCGAGTTTAGATTGCAACACACAACTTATCAAAATTCCAAGTCCAAGCCGATGCTTTCACGGTTCTACCAAACAATGTGTGAAACTCGGTCTAGGTTCAAACCCGGCCCCAACAAAACCCAAGCTAGGTCCTATATCCTAGATTGCTAGTTCAAGAACTAAGGCTAAGGCACCAAGGCAAGCAAGGATCTAGGAATCTAGGAATCTGGGATCTAGGAATCGAGGACTCTAGGATTGTGGGAGTTTGGACTTAGGACTTTTATGGGACCTAAGACCTAGCACCTAGCAGAGGCCATTGGGACATTGGGTTGGGCCTGGGCCTGGGGCCATGGGGTCCTTGGGGTGTGGGTCTTTGGCATGTGGATTTTCGGGCGTGGGCCTGCGGTGTCGGGTGGTTCAGAATCTGGGGCCACGTTTCGGGCACGTTTTTTGCACGTTTTTTTCACGTTTTTTGCACGTTTTTTTTCACGTTTTTTTCACGTTTTCCTAGGGAAAACGCACATTTCGGCCGCCCCACCTCAACTTCCGAAAACGTGCCCAAAACGTGCCTAAAACGTCCCAGAAGCCCATGGACCCAGAGGTTCCCAAGAGCCCGGGACCACACCCCAAGCCCAGGCAAACCCTGAATCCTGCAGCACACACGGCAACAGGAACATCAGCTGAAATATGACTTGACACAGGCCCCAGGGCCTACTGTTCTAGGGTGATTCGAGGGCTTAGGGCTGGCGTCTTTTGGCAGACAGTGGTGGCAGCGCTTGCAATGTCCCAAGCTGCATGTCCTTCGGAAGCAAGAAGTCAAGCATTTCTTTGGGGGTCTCGGTCTGCACATTCGCAATCATCTCCTCGCGCTAAAATTGGTCGTTTGCGAAATGCATTATATGCTATAATTCGACAGGCAAGCCTTGGGCTAAAGGCTAACATTGCACAGCTTCCCTTTGTGAGCACTTGTATCTACCGAGCAGAAGCAGAGTGCAACGTTCAATATACTTTCTACACGATTCTAACCAGTCTAACCCGACACCTGCCCCAAGCAGAACGATCCAATGCTACGCCGAACTTTGGAAGGAGCCAAGGCTTAAGCCAAAGCATGAGCCCCAAAGTGTCACAAACAACCGAGCAACCAGCAAGGTCCTTCAAGATGTACCTCCAAGCTGCAGCATCCTTGGAAGTGTAGATGTCCTTCCGCAGGAAGCCAACAAAGATCCTGGACACAGGCAGGCTGTCGCCAGGCAGGAAGCATGGAAAGGGCTTGCAGTTTGGGTCCAAGGCTCAGGGCTTTTTTAGTTTGAGGACCTTAGGAGTTTGGGGATTCTGGGACCTCAGCATTAAACTTTTTGGTTTAGGACCTTAGGAGTTTGGGGATTCTGGGACCCCAGCATTAAAATTTGATTCCTAGGCAGGCCTTGGGGTTAGTTTGTTGCAGTGTGTCATGTAAGGCAATGTAGGGCCTATGTAGGGCCAATGTAGGGCCAATGTAGGGATGTGGGGCATTGTAGGGCCGGCAGGATAAAGTAGGGCAGGAGTCCGTGGACCATTTGTGCGGTGGGTGGTGTGTTCGGGCCAATTGACCGTAAGTCGACAGAATATTGGGAATGAGGATCTCAAGTGATTCAAGCTTTGAAGGCCCAGAAATCGACAATCAATGTCCGGGGTGCTTTAACCGACAAGGGTAAGGCTTCAGGGTTTGTTCGGAGCTTGTTGGGGGGGGGGGGCCCGCGGGTCTTGGGGTCTAGCCTAGCTGCTTCTGGGGTCTTTATCTTTGAGTTTAAGACCTACAAGACTATAAGATCAATACTCTGCGAGACCTAGGACCGGACCTAAAGTCCTAGAATCTAGGGCTACGGCTAGGGCCTCCAGTGCTTCGTAGCTAGAATCAGCTAGAAGTACGGTGTGTATGTACTGTTCGAAAGCCTTGGGAGCCTTCGGCTTTGATTGAAAGTTCACTAATTCGGTAGGTTGCTGGTTTTTGGTGTGATAAACTGATAGTCTGGCAGGAAAGACAGATCGTTTCAGTAGCTGCTCCGCCATGGCAGCATTGATTGCTGATTACAAATTTGTTAATGACTGGCAGACTAGCAGCAATGATTTATGCGACTTGGCAAAACAACTGACTACTTGGATCTTGGATCTTGTGTTAGCAGAATCCTATAGTAAAGCAATAGTCTGGAGTCTAGAGTCTAGAGTCTAGAGTCTACAGGGCGCAGCCAACAAGGGCAATGGTGCTTGGGTCAAGGTTTCCCGATTGTCACAAGGTCACAATGTCCGAAGCCCACAGAAGGTTCAACCCCTCAAGATTGGCAACCCACAAACCCTCTTAAGCCCTGAAATGCCCCAAGAGACCCAAAAATTCTTAAAACTCCAAACCTTCAGCAGGAGGGGAATGGGGCCGAGTTGCGACCGCTTTTGTCGTTTCGGCACTGCGGCCCTCGAGTCCCTTGAGGCTGGGCACCGGCTTTCAAACACATTGTGGCATATTGACACATGGCTCCACAGAAATGGCCATTGAGCCATCGAGCTGGAGCTTTCACATCTTCAAGTACTCCAAAATAGCTGGGATACGTTTTCAGTCTAACTTCTCGCAATTCTAGCGGCACTTTGATTTTGGCACTCTATGACTCTAGGACTCTAGGTCCGACTCTAGGTGACTCTAAGACTCTAAGTACAGCAACAGGCACGTGTTCAAATCGAGAATCGAGACATACGAAACCGGCAAGTAACACATAAAACAAAACATGAGCCCTGCACTACCCCAATGCCCTATACTAGGCCCTATACCTAGGACCTAGGACCTATGCCCCATGCTATACCAGGTTACAATGCCAGTGTACCATAGACCCTGTACTAAGCTTAGGTCGTGCACACTGGTACAATAGGCTAGACAGACCCCGGGAACCCTGTATTCCCAGATTTGGAGCCACGAAGAAAAAATGCGCAGATTCCCATCATCAGCTGGCAAACATGAAAGAAAACGAGCTTAGCGGCTTAGCAGGCTTAGCTCACCACCCGGGGTTCGTCGGATTCCCCAGGCTCCTTGGCACGCTCGTGCCTTGCAAAGTGGGCAGCTCCTTCCAAGGCAAGGAAACTAATCCGAGCCGCTCTGCGGCTCTCATAATCCAAGTGAACCGTCGATCAACATGTTGTTCGGCATCCGTAAAATTCTTTGCGTCCTTCAACCAGGCCAAGAGCTGCCCGAGCGGGCGGCCTTGACCCGGCCTGCTTGAACGAGCGCTGGGTGCTTTGCAAGTTCTGTTCCTTTTGCAGCCTTCCCCATGCTGAGAGCAGAAAGCAGTGTAGGTCTGCGATCTAGGATTGTAGCGTACGGAGCCAAGACGCCACACTGGAAAGCTTTCTTCCTTCACTGTCTTGACTCGGCTGCTAGTGTCTGCAGGAGCATCCCTGGGCTCCGGTGCACTGGGCAGGTGCACTGCAGCAGGCTCAGCGGGGGGGCCAGCCTCCTCAGTCAAAGCTTCGACAGCATTTCGTAGATCACGCAGAGCAGATCCAGGGCCATCGATAGAAGATGAATTTTCTTGCTCGACTTCAGGGGGCTGGGCAGCCTCACCTGCACCATCTGCATGTTCTGCAAAAGCCTCGGCAGCATCTGCCAGTATCTCCCAATCAGCCTCAGACTCATTTTCTCCGTCATCTTCACCAACATCAAGAGCATCTAGAAGTGGGGGGTCATTCCCGCCGCCAGCATCCTCTTGGCCTGCATCAACCGCAGCAGTGTCCTCGGCTGGGCCCTTCTGCCTGTTGAGGACCTGCAGACATTGAGGAAGGATGGGAAAATTCTGGTAGGCCTGTGGTCTAGAATCTAGAATCTAGAATCTAGAACACCTCGCAACTCGACCTGGCGTAGCTAGCCGGAAAGGGACCGAGCTTTGGGATTTGTGGCTTTAGCAACTTTAGCACTTTAGCAAATACGAGAGCAAGGGCCTTGAAACTTAGGGCCTTGAATCCTTGAAGGCTTAGGGCATAGGGCTTAGGCCTAGGGCTAGGGCTAGGGCGGCTAGGGCTACGGCTAGCGGCTAGGGTTCAGTAAAGCACCTGAGGCTTGCGGCCACCGGATCCACCCGGCGGGCCACCAGGACCGTGCCCACCTCCACCGCTGCTCCTCGGAGGACGTTTCCTCCTTCGCTCTTCCTCTGCTTGGCCCTGCCAGACTGTAGAAACAGGAAGCAACTCTGGATTGAGCGGAATGACCTCCAAAACATCCGGCACGAAATCATCCTTGTTAAGAATCTTCTGTCTGTTGTCCAGCTGCCACCACACAGCTCTCCACTGTCTCTGGAAATCCACAAGGTCAGCCAAAGCCATGCGCGACCGGCTGACATGCAAGCTCTCATCAGGAACATGCAAAAAAAACCTTCTGCAGGACATCGTTGCTGTCGCGTTCATCATCCAAGCATTCCAAAACCAGGAAAGTGAAGTCATACACTCTGAAGTTGGCATAGCCGATGAAGAACCAAATCGACTCAGAAGTAGACTCCCATTCGGTGCTTGGAGCAGTTGCCATCGCCTCAAACTGTGCTTCCAACGCAGCCCATCCAGTCAAGGCTTCTCCAGAACTCCGTGCCTGGCTTGCCTTGTGGGCCTTGTGCTTGGGCCGCAGTTCCAGGATCAGCTCGGACTGTTCCAGCATCAAGCGTGCCTTGCTTTTCTTCCCCTTGGCTGGCCGAGCACCTGCCTCAGCAGACGCAGGAGCGGTCCTAGCAGCTTTGTCGCGAATCACCCGAACGAAAGGTCGGACAGCATCGACCAGATTCGAGTGACACATATGTGCCAGTTGGCCAATGCCGGAGCAGATGCACATACCGTGCTGCAGGCATGGACTGCGGTTGAATGGAGTCGCAAGCATGCGGGAACCCTTCTGGCTCGGTACCAGCTTATGGCAGCACGACCAATCCTCTTCCAAGCGCAGCAAGGCCTTGTGCGGCCGACCTTTAAGATCGGCATTCCTCAGGAGGCTGGCCTTAGCGCAAAAATTGGCAGAAACCTTCAATATCACCTTAAATTAAGTCCCGGAAACCGAACAAGTCCAAAAGACATTGAATTAACTTCTTACAACTACAACTCAGCCCAAGACCTTTGCTAGCTTGGCCGCAGGATTCAACCAGCGACCAGTCGGGAAGCTGTCCGCTTCGGGAACATATCGGCAGGATGCAAAAGGAACACCCATGCCAAAGAGGTCTGGAATCAAAGCCGTTTTGTCGTTTGCCTCCAGATCCTGAGCCACGAACGCTGCCACATGGCCCTGTTGCAAAGCTTCTTTGTTTTCGTGCTGCTGCGCTATGCCTGCAGCATCCTCCACCGCATGTTTGCGCATGTCCGTAGCTTTTGCACAGATTTTGCCCCAGTCGGTATCTTCAGGCAGCACACTTTGTAGGGCGAGTTCAGAGCCTCCCACATCAACACTGCTGCTGTCTTGGATCTGCTTTCTCGGACGCTTGGCGGGCCTTGGTTCTGCTGCGCTCACAAAAGCTTGTGACCCAGCCTTGGCACTGTCGGTGGCTGCCTGGCCAAGTTCCGTATACATCTGCTTCTCGGCAGATGTCAAACGCTTGAAGGCTGCATTGACACGGCGAAAAAGAGCCCCTCTGTTCTTCCAGTCTTGTGGAGAAGCCTTCGGCAACTCCCGGTGCAGAAAAGCTCGCTGAGCTCCACCCCGTGGTTTCATTATTCTCTTGCGCTGCTTCTTTTTCAAAGCAATTGCACGACGCTGGGCCTTGGCAACCCGGGCATGCTTCTTCGCGGCTTGCCTTCTTATCTCTCGCTGTTGCTTGAACTGGCAAAAAGCATCTTCATCTGGTGCAGGATGATCCTTATAGAAAGCCAGCCTATCCAACACCTCCGCGTCCTCAAACTGTGCTTTAGCAACCTGTCGCACCAAGAAGTCTGCACTGAGGGTCTCGAGCATTGAGTCCCAGGTTGTGCTTTTGGCATTCAACAGCTTTCGCACTTGCGCATGCCGGCACTCAATCTCTGCAACGTCCACCGAGACACAAGCTGCAATGGTGTGAACCATGGAGCGGCAAAGGTCGGATTGCAGATCTTTTGCTTTGGGAAAGGTAGTCACAAACCACTCCGACAGGCTATCCAGTTGGCAGGGCTTTAATCTCAGCAGAGACCTTGCAATCACGGATGTCTGGTGTGGGCCAGCAAGAAGCCCAAACAACAGGTATGGGCACTTCTGGCGGATCGCACCCAGATTGTGCTCCAAGGCACAGATCAATCTGCCCAACAAACCTTTGCTGGTGTGCTCTGCTGAAGCTCAAACAACCATTTTTGGACATGGTTGTGCAATTCATAGCCGGCCTAGTAGCATAGTCACATAGTCATAAGTCATAACTAGATTTAGAAATTTAGGGATCTCGCACCAAGCACCATCCGGCGAACATCGCCCCGAAAATATTTCCTATGTGACCGGGAACATAAAGTCCTAAAGCCAACATGCGGTGCTTGAACTTCTTGGACATCTTACCTACCAAAACCTCTTATAACCCGACATCGGCCTAGTACGCAACATCGAAGCTTTCATAAACGAATTTTCAAACATGATGACCTAATGCGAGAGGGCGGCAGGGCCTCAGCACACACTATGGGAATCTATGTACATCTATTTGGGTACCTCAATCTAAGCCTGAATCCCATCGGATACCCGCCAACACAAACTTCAAAGGAAAGGTGGCTCGAGAACCCACGCAGAGCTGGTGACATAGGGGCAATAAAAAGAATGGCCTAAGCCTAGCCCTAGGCTCTCTAGGGCCTAGGGCCTAGGGAATTCTTCTGAAAACCGTCTGGTAATTAGTCTGGTATGCGACCATGCCTAGTTCTAGAGTCTAGAGATTCTAGGCCTGCGTCCTGGCCTAGGCCTAGGGCCTAGGCCTAGGCCATGCATACTTGCTACAGAGACAAGGTTTGCTCAGTGCACGAGTGCTTGCCACTGTGTGAATAATCCAACAGCCTAGTTAGTTAACCCCCCCCCCCGGTCCAAACCGCCAAGCATCGAAAAAGCAGGTTCTTGTTGGCCTGTGTCAACGCAGCCCGGGCAAGACCCGGCACGCCTGAATGGAAAACCTTCTCCACACGATGCTTTGCCTCAGTAAAACCTTGGCCAAAAAAGACTTCTGTCAGCTTGAATGAGCGCTCCTGACCCTGGCACAAAGACCATTCCTGGTGGTGTCGCCACTTGTCCGAAGAAATGTGCAAATACAGAAACAGCAGGTCCACGACAGGATTAAGAGCAGTCCTGAGAAGGGCGAAGATATTCAGATCAGCACTTGAAATCCATGCTCGCACTTTGGCTTTGGCCGCTGTGTTGAGATCTGCCAATCGTGTTTCCGTATCAGTGCTCAAAGCACTGCTTCCAGCAACAGCGTCGGCTGCTTGTGCAGCTTGCATGGTTTCTCGCTGCCCATGTCGATTGAGCATGTCGGCTGCCAAAGCCTGCCATCCTTCATGCACATCCGGCTCATCAGCGAGAGCCAAGGAAGGATCAACAATCGGAGAGGTCACGCCGACCGGACCCAGCATTCGAAGTAGCACTGGTTTCAGCAATCCGTGGTGGGCCTGTAAAAGTCCGCACCAATCTATTGACAACTCTCCTCCGTACCACCGGTGGCGCGGAAAAAGCCGAAGTCCCTCTGGCACGAGCGCAGGAATGATGAACCTTTTCACCAGCCACATAGCCTGAAGCGGATCTACAATGTGACCATGGGTGCAAAGTGTCACGTGAGTCTCATCTTGTATGTCCATGGCCAAGAAATAATTCAAGATTTTCCTCTGAACAAGGCGCTTCCTCCTGTTCAGTCGCTTGTCGCTGGATCTGGCCAGGTTCAAAGACAAATACAAGTTGTAAACAGCAAGCCTGTAGTCCTCCATCTCACCTCCTGGAATGTCACCTACATGTATCTTGAGGCGGGCTTCAATTTCGTCTGCCAATATTTGCCGAAATTTGGCCAGGGTCCCAGCACTGCCCAATACCAGGGCAGCCGAAATCATGCCTGTAATCGTTTCGGAAACCGGTGCCATTTGCCAGGTCATGGCCCGGCTCGTATCATGAATTTGACACGGAAAACGACTGGGGATGTCTTGTGGCATTTGCGTGTGAAGCAACTCCTCAGCACGAAGATTGCCGGAATATCTATCCGCTGTAGCAACATTCACCCGAACATCACAATGGGCCCCAAGAGCCTCCACCTCTTCCAGATGTCTGTGCAAATCCATCTGCGCCTTAGCCAAGTCCTCCCCTGTGGTGGTCTCCAATGCTTGTAATGGCACATGCAACAGTCCATGGTGACAAGAAAGTTGACCCGAAGGAACATGTTCAAGTAGCAGACCAATTTTGAACCTCGTCTGAAGAACTTTGGCCAAACAGGAATCTGTCTTCTGCAAACCACGAGAATCGTCCTGGGCAGGTGCCACACGGACCCGCACCGGTGTTTCATCGTAGATGCGGTGACGAAGCACAAGTCTCAGCTTCACAGTGCCCTCAACTAATTTGCTTTTCAGCATCCGGCAATGCAATGCCCACGCAGCTGAGCTGCACAAATGTGTTGCCGAAGCCAATACAATCAAGTTTCGGTTGAAGCTTCGAGCAGGGATGCCCAAAGATTCGGCATCTGCAGTCAGGGCAGTCTGTGGCCGTGGTCCTGAATCCAATACCTTTGCGAAGAAATCCTGCAGGTCGGTTGATGCGACATAGTCTTCTTCCACATCAAACTCGTCTGTTCTTGTCTGGGACTGCGACTCATGTGCACCTGCATGCTGCTGTGCACTTGATTCACTGGATAACTCTTCCGATGCAAGCTGAAGAAGCGAAACCTGTAGACCCGCAGATGATCCTGGAGCCACCAGTCCCAGAAGATGCTGAGGCACTGGGGTTCCCAAAGAAGATTGCTGAACAGCAAGTTCCAAGGCAACCGGTCTGCCTATGTCTGTATCCAAATTGGTTGCTGCTTGTGCATCGGCGTCTGAAAGATCTATCACATGTTCAGCATCCTCAGCCATTTCTTCCAATGCTTTACGAGACTCCCTCCGAAGAATGTGGCTGCCTGTTTTGCCAGCGCGCCTGGCTTGCAACCGCATCTTCTTTTGCTTGCGCATCGAATCTCCCACCACCACCTCTTCTGCCGGAGCTTCGGCATCTGCAGCTTCAGCAGCATTTGAGCTCTGCGAATCAGATATCCACATGACACCCGGTGAAACTCAAAGCGACAAAAAGTCATGCGCGGCTCAAGTCACTCAAATGCTAAATTTGCTAAATGCAACGTGCACTTTTTGGCAGCCTCTTGCTATATTGCTACATCCTTGTTTTGGGAGGCTAGCGGCTAGACTCTAGTGGCTAGACCAGGAGTCGAGTGACCAAGGTCTATGAGTCTATGAATTTAAAAACTCTTTTCGACCTGATCCGAGCCGACGCTGTTGCACAACATGAAGAGTCAAGGCATGAAGGGGCATAAGACGGACCAGTATCCAGACCTGCAAAGGGCCTGGGGACAACACACGAGATCAAGCCTTATTCAATCTTCGCGAACCTGGCTGCCTGGCCTAGCTGCCTGGCTCCAAGACTTCAAGAAGCACTGCAATGTTTCGGGCAGCCACTGAACTACTGGATGAAGCTACACTGAGTCTGAATCTACATGCCATGTCAATGCCTCGAATCTATGCTTTATGCCTCTAGACTGCAGACTCTATCCAGACTCCATGACACTTGACTCTATGCCTATGCCAGTCCAATGAGTCCAATGTCGAGGCTCCCGCAGCTATCAGCTACCAGACAACAGAAGGTGCACACGCAGAAACACACAAAACCCGGTTCACTCTGAATACAAACAATAGCATAAGTACCACATACCACCTGAACCTCCCTGCACTGACCACTGTCCTCGGACTACAGGATTTATTTTACACTATACTACACCCCCTGCCCCACTGGCAGCGCAACGGACTGTCCTGGGCCGCGACACATTGACCCACCATTTGTGGTCCATCTCCACAACAATGAAGTGGTAGCCAGGCTGGTCACGCTCGGCAGTGGCATCTTGCACGCTCTCCAAAAACCTGGCCACATGTTCAGTGCTTTATGGCTCTATCACTCTATGGACTCTATCTATGGCTGTCAATGCGAAAGCTGTCAAGACTGAAGACGACATGTTTGTGGCACCCGCATTTACCCGAAGCAGACAAATTTGCCGAGTCCCGGACTTCGCAAAATCCGACATCTAAGCCTCTAAGCGGTGTACATAGCCCAAAAGCTCAGCCCCTATGGCTCAAGGGTCAAAGAAGGTCGTGCCTAGCAGCTGTTTTGCCCAGGCATACACTACACTTACGTTTACCCGACTCCCAACAAGCACTCCCAAATTCTGAGATGTAGCAAAACTTGGGAATCTAATGACTAGTAACTATAACTAGTAGCCTCAAACTAGTAACTAGCAACTAGTAACTTAGTAGCTGCGTAGCTGTAAATAATGAATTATAACTTGATTCTACTCCTTGTTTCACGCCGATCGACTGAACACTGACCACACAACACAAACAGTGTGCCTCGACATCGATGTGGTCGTGTCCGGCTGATTGTTTGTGTCTGTCTTGTTCCAGCCTGTGACATTTTCCTGCAGACCTGCTCGAGGCTGCAGCGTAGCCAACCATCTCACTAACAGTTCAGCTGTGACAGAATCCTGTGGATGGGATTTCACAGAGCCATCGTGGAAGCGTTTGTAGCGCTGGTCGGAGTACGGCGGACACGGTGTCCCCGACACACCGAAGTCCGCTCCTGCACAGCTGCAGCCGCCGCTCGCCTCGCGATGAAACATGCAGGCACTCCCAGAAATTTGCTCCTCCATCCCATAGTGCAAATGACACAGCTCGCTCTGGTAGTTAGCCAGAATCATCTTCTGGCAGTCGTTGTTCCAGTCCGCTGCGGACAAGAACTCGGCAGGCATACCAAGCACCTGAGCTTGCAAAATGGTTTGCTGCCTTCCAGTATTTAGATACCGAAAACACTTGCTGCTCGGCTAGCGGCTAGCCGCTAGCCGCCGCTAGCCGCTAGCCGCCGCTAGCCGCTAGCCGCTAGCCGCTGCGGCCTCCTTCTACCAACAAACTAACTCATTGGGCTCTCGATAGACGATGGACTTCTTTTGAACTTTAGAAACTTTAGACTCCATGTTTCTTGCAGATAGGGCACTTGCAACGCAGCTGCTTCTGCCAGCAATCCAGAACATGTCGACACAAACTTCAAAGGTGTTGCTGGTTCAAAGCCTTCCTTGCATTTCAAGTGCCGTGCAGCACTAACAATGCTGTCTTTCCACCAGACCTCGCAAGGCGCGGGCTTGCGACACCCACCAGCTGTTGTGATGGAGGGGATGTCTGAGCTGGCACAGCTCGCCCCACAGTCACAGTCAGCCTCCACTCGGGAGCTTGCAGAAGAAAGACTCGGCAGGGTCGGCAACCGCGGCCGCATGTCAATACATTCCGTGTCGCTGTCGCTACGACAAGCCTCGGCTTCTTCCACGCTATCTGCACTCTCCTGTGAAAGAGTGAGATATACCTCGTCCAGATCAGACCATCCCATGGCCAGAACTAACCGATATACAGCTTCAGAAAAAACACGCTGCAGCGGGCCATTCACCAGTGCTCCAAGTCCAAGCGCCGAAGGGAGCAAAATCAAAATTTGGAACTACAAAGAGGGAACAAGCTTGGGCAAAATACAATCGGTTTCGTTCCGCACGTGCGAGTGATGTAGCATGTGACATATGACCAATGAAGCAGGCAAGCTGGTTGCTCGCAGGGGTTGCAACTCAACCTAGCTACCGAACATGGGTTCGCAGCTGGGCCCTGGCATTGAAGCCTTCATTAAGCTTTCTGGCTTGTCGCTAACGGATTTCGTGCGAGCAACTTTCGTGAAGTTCTGTAGCAGCATGAAACTAGCAGCACCTTGCGTACCCACCATTTCACCGGCTGATATCACAGAATGATAAGACTGAGAACAAGGCATGCATGTGTGTGGAACCCTGTGATGCGACATAAAAGGCCATTGGCTGTAGCCGTAGCCTGTCCCGACTCCCAACCTCGAAGCCCCAGACTGTCAGCCACACCCCATCAATGTACGCCACAACCAATTATTCGAAGCCAAACTCCATGGTACTAAGGCGCATGCTTGACTTCAATCAATTTCTCACATATCAGCCTGTCCGAACTTTTGGAAACAATCCTGGTTCCTGGTCCTACTCCTCATCAGAATCGCAGCCTTTACAAACACACTGCCCAAGGCTACGTGCAACTATGCTGAATTTCTGTCCCATTGTCCAAGCCAGCCGGGGCAGAAATAATCTAGGCCTCTGAACCAGGCTGCATAATACCCGTGTACCAAACAAAAAAGAGGATAGATCCCTGCCATCATCATGCAGTTCAAAAGAACGACATGGTCTGTTATGTTTGTTTTGCAAGCACCATTTCATATTCCTCACACCAGACATTCACCACTTCGATCACCTTTTCGACACGTTTTCGAAAAGACACTGATCAACATCACCTTTTTTTCACGTTTTTAAGCACGATTTCCAACATAGCCGATTCACCTTTTTTATACGTTTTATTCACGTTTTATTTAAATCAACATGGCCACAATCCTCAATCCAACGCCGGTTTTAACGTTATGCATCCAGGGCACTCCAGATTCTGGCCGGAGGCGAGCCAAGCCTGGAAAAGCTCGTTCCGATCCTGCACCGATACAATCGAGTCACCCCCGCCCCCTCCCCAAAGACACACCGAAACAGAGGCACCAAAACAAAAGGCAAGCTTGAAACACAAACATAAACAAACATGACAATTGGCCTAGCCAACAACTACATATAAGTATAAACACACACTTGCATTAGTCTGTGTGTTTGTTTGTTGCAACGGATCATCGTTTGTGCCGTTTGTGTTTGTTTCGTTGTTGGGTTTGGGTTTAGGGGATTAGGGTTTGAGGTTTAGGTTTTGAGTGTTAAGGCGTAGGGCACACACCAACACACAGACACAGACACCGACACACACACACACACCCACGCACACACGCACGCACACAC